TTAAAGTACTACGTTTCGTTTTATATTTGGTATTCTTCGCGATAAGATTTCAAAAAGGAATGTGAAGAAGAGCGGCACGCGATACGGCTACCTGCCTATACGAGCATCGGTAAGAGAATGAATGACTGCACGGTAACTGCGCGTAAACGTGACGCGCCGCGTGACGTGCCGCGTGACGCGTCGAGTGCCTCCCCGTGCCGTCTCGTGCCGCCCGCCAGCGTCAAAGCAAACCCCAAGGTCGCATGCCGATCATTTAACTGTCGAAACATTAACGTACATATATTACGAGTAAGTAAAGTAATATCTTTTATATTTTTAATATTCTCTGACAAATAGGCTTTATAGCATGGTTTTTGCTTTACTTCTTACATTCGTTACGCATACACTCAGCTCATGAATATTTTTGATATTTCAATCGTGTTACAATAAGCGATTATTTGTTTGTAATAACTTTAAACACGAAATCCGTGCAATGTACTGAATATTTTTAACAAAAGATTAACGCATTGAGAGTTATTCTAGTTAAAGAATATGCACGCGTTCTATTATTTATTTAAATGTTTTAATTAATAATTGTTACAAGTGGTTTCAAATAATTTTTCCTTGCTTAAAAGGGAGTCTTGAGTTTTCAAATGAATACGAATATTTATATCAAAAAAGTTTTTAACATAAATATTCATATTCATTTGAAAACTCAAGACTCCCTTTTAAGCAAGGAAAAATTATTTGAAACCACTTATAACAATTATTAATTAAAACATTTAAATAAATAATAGAATACGTGCATATCTTTTAACTAGAATAAATCAATGCATTAATCTTTTGTTAAAAATATTCTGTACATTGCGCGGATTTCGTGTAACAAAAAGTTATTACAAACTAATAATCGCTTATTGTAACACGATTGAAATATCCAAAATATTCATGAGCTGAGTGTGCGTAATGAATGTAAGAAGTAAAGCAATAAAGCTTATTTGTCAGAGAATACTAAAAATGTAAAAGATATTACTTTACTTATCTCGTAATATATGTACGTTAATATTATAAATTGTATTATGAGAACCTAACGCTTAAACGTCCGGCTGTTGGGACATTTACCTTATCTCTAATTTGCATGAATGAATGCGAAATCCGGAGCGACTCGTAACGCACCCGTCTTCCTCCGAAA